CCTTCCTGGCCCCATGTAATGATAAACAAAATGAGATAACCAGGCACCCTCCATTCCTTACTGCAACCCAGGGACTCTCTTGCATCTCCAACACAACTGCTTGCATCACACACTTGGACTGGAGAACAAAAACTCCCTTTTCTCCCATTCTATTGCCTTCATAAATGTATCCTAGCTTCTTTAATCTTCTTTTATAACTAAGCCAGTTGTGGAGCTCTGCTTCATTCTTCTACTGCTCTGCATGATTCTCTTGTACATCATCCACCTGCCCTGAGTTGCAGTGCTCTTCTCATGGTCACTGAATGCGTGTACAGTGGGGAATCTCCTGGGCTTTCCAACTGCTGCTCTTCACAGCTTGATCCAAGTGATGATATCCTAAACCATCCCTGATCTATGCTTATCCTACCTCCAATGAAGGAGATTCCACAACTGCCCTAGGCAATCTATTTCTCTGCCTCACTGCTTTAGCACTAAAGAAGTTTTTCCTGATGTCCAGACATGCTTTTCTGTAATTTCAAGCCATTACTACACATTTGACCGTCAGCTGTGAGGAAGACAATTTGTTCTCTCTTGTCTTTACAGTGGCCCTTCAGATATTTGAAGACTGCTAGTATGTCTTCCCTTAACTGTCTTCTCTGCAAGCTAAATGTGCTTAATTGTCTTACCCTCTCCTCATATACCTTGCCTTCCAACTGATTTATCATTTTTGTTGCTCACCTTTGGACCCTCTCTAACTCCTCTACATCCTTCTAAAAAACACAGAGCCCCGAAGTAGACACAATATTTATAGAATCTTGTGTTTTTAAATTAATCTCATGATTTTTCAATATCTGGGTTGGATGTTTTGCTGCTAGCTATCTCAAATAATCACTGGCATAACAAGCAAGATTTGCATCCTGGCAAAACCATGTGAGAGTGTGGTGGGGAATGGTTGTGAGCGGGGGAGTCAGGCACAGATTCGGGTGGGGAGGAGCATGCACAGGGGTCTTACTCAAAACAGTCTTGTCTACTGCTGCATCTCTGCTGCTTCTGTTGCTGCCATGTGCTCTGCCTGTTCCAATTTTTGCTCTTAAAGACAATGTGCTGCTGCTGCTGCTGCTGCTGCTGCAAAAGCAATACTGTGGGTCTGTTCTGTCACCAGGGTGCAGACTGCATGGGGGTGGAGGATGATTTTGGTCCCCCTCTTAAATTGGCAACCAGGGCTGGTGCCTCTCCTGCCCACCTGTAGTTTTTAGGAGTCAGATTACAGATAACGAGGGAGGGGTACATTTAGAAAGATTACACTTTTTATGCCTGGGAAGCATTGGAAGAAGTGCAGTAAGGAAGACATGTATTATACTACTGGAAACTCATCTTTTTGTGCAGTATCTTTTCCTCTGTTATGCTGCTTACAAAAGAAATGTTGACAGAATGAATGGTGACACCTGGATAGTAGTTGTCTAATCTAGTGGCAATTAAATGCCATTGGTTTCCAAGTTCAATGTGCTTGTATGCTCCATGTATCACCCTCTAATGCAACCAAACAGCCTAAAAGAAAAATGGGAACATATTTTAGCTGGTCTTATGTCCCATGAACTGATGGGCGTAGTCTAGGCTCAGATATATTGAGGGCCTTGATCTAGGCTCTGGGGCAGAGGTATATAACCACAAATCTGGTTTTCTCCAATTAGAGTTGTTGCTGGAACTCTTAACAGGATGTTTGTGGATTGATGAAGGCAGGAGATGAAATAGAGCTGAAAAAATGGTTTTAGTTGAAATGGCCCCTCTTGTGAGTGCTGGATACATTTAAAATAGCAGCTGCTTCTTTCAGGAGTGAATTGATTTGTGTAGTCAGCAGTCAACATTCAATTTACATCTTTCTCAAATTGTGATGGAGCAATGGATACTGTGCTACTTCCATTATGTCTAATAAGAGATACTCTTTAATATAAGCTGGTTTAGGTTCAGTGTCTGATTTAGATCAGCCAGTGTTGGGAAAGGCTGGATAGGATAACAGGGCCTGTCAATGAGCCTGAGACCTAGCTGTTTAACATGAGTAATGTCAAGCCTGAGACAATCAAGTCAAAAGTATCCCAAAGCTACTTAGGCAAGTCTAAAATCAATAACGCAGAACTAGCTATAACTAGAGTGGAATAGAACAGTAAGAGGCAGGCAGGCACATGGAGTCATGTAGGCTTAGAATAATGCCAAGTAGAGTAAAGACAGAAATGGCATGAAGAAATAAAATGGGAAACAGTATTGGAATAGTGACAGACACACTGACAACGTGCATGGAGATGTAAAATGGACAGGAAGACAACACAACAGTGAAGACCCCCATTCTTTTTCCACGAGTTTGGGTAATAATTAATGGTGCTGTGTAACTAATAAGCTTGTCTGTATTTAAGGTTTTGGTGAATAAATACAAATACAGATTTGAATAATAAATTCTAGGACTGTCCACTGGCTGTTTCCAGGGCCGAACATATAGGTAGGAGTCTTTTGCACCAGTCTACAATTCATATACCACACAATAGGACTATTTTAGGCAGGTAATAGCTGTAATACAAACCAACTCAATTTGTAGTCTCCCCTCAGACAGATTTAAGATTATTGTCAAGATAAGGTTAACACATGCTTACAATCATTTCACAACTGCTGAATGTATGCAGTCAATGGTTGCACTCATTTTTGCGAGAACAGACTTGTTTACTTGATTTAATAAGGTTGAAGTAGAAAATTAAACCACCTTTTGTTACTACAGAATAAAAACAGTACCAAACCTTGGGACTGATCTCACACTCAGATTTTTTTTTAATCCTGAAGGTAAGTCAACAGTGAAATGTGTATGGAAGATGGTGTGTGTTTCATTTGATGGAGGAGGGAGATGTCAGTATTTAAAGTGATTAAACCTTCAACTATGCAGTTAATAGGTATTTCCTTATTTGGATATATCCTTCTAGACTGGCCCAAACCTTTCAAAGATGCTTCACAACACTTGATTATTATAACCAGCATTTACACAAAACAATCCATCTTTTCACATCTGTTTGAAATATTTCATGAACACCAGGGGCATCAAGCTTGCCATAGCTGAATCTGGACTGTGAGACCCTTCATGGGCCAGATCTGAACCCAGTTCTGCCAGCAGGGTGAGGGGCAGTGGTAGTGCAGGGGTTAACACAGCTATCACTAACCCCTGTTGCTGACACTTGTTTCTACTCGGGGCCTGGATTTTGGCAGCATCTCTGGCCCTGCTCGTCCCACCCTCAAATTATTAACTCCTCGGGGAGCCTAGTCGGTCAGATAACATGGCTCTATGGGCTGGATCTGATTTGTGGGGTATATGTTTGACACCCCCCATGTACATAATACCTGTGATGACAACAACAACACAAGACTCACCTTCCTAGACAACCACCTGCCTTAAGTGGTCACACTGCAGTGTCGCAAAATATACTGAGTGCACTTCTTAGCCACCTTTATTAAGCAACCCCTGTTAAAAATAACGTTTGTGAGTCCCTGGAAGAGGTTGCTTAAGTTAGATTTTCATTTTATTGTGTTATTTTACTATACGGGCAATGAACGGATGTTTGAAAAAACAGATGTAGTAGAAAAATCCATATTACCCAGCTCTTTCTTAACAAGAATTACTTATACAGTACTTAACACTGTTGGCAACTGTAAACCTATCATAGGCTTAAAATTCCTGATGAGTGGGCAAAATAAAAAAGACATTTTCTAAATGACGAGTCTATTGCAGCCAGCCTTGTAAAAGAAACCTTTTAGTGTCAGTAGATAATGAAAATACGTGTTACCTATGACTGAGTTAAAATGATGTCGTGACCTGGCAATTTCTATTCAGCGCTGACACATCCATGCACTGCACAGATCAGGATTGTTGTCGTGTAAATTTAATAGGATTCTTCATTCTATATTGTTGCTCAGCCAGGAAATGTAATTCTAAGTTTCCTGCAAGTTGTGAATAGCAGCAGGGGGCCATGAATAGCTTGGAAACCTATATTTTTTCCATTTATTTTTAAATGCAAATTACACTAGTAAGTCAAAAAGATCACTTTTGTTAAAAATACATTCAGAATTAACAAATGCCAAAACAAAAAAAAAAACCCAAAAAAGAAAGGAAAAAACCCACACATTTGGATTATAACTCTTGCCTTCTAAATATTTAGGTTATAACAAAAGCCCAGTCTAGAAAAATAACATTTTTTACTGGATTTGGAGGAGGATACCGCTGTACAAATCAAAAATGTCATCCAGATATTCTCACACTACTGTGCTCTAAACAGCTTCTAAAATCAATCTGCCCACTAATAATTTCATTTAGTAGTCAACACTCTTGAAATAATTTACAGTGGTGCTTTAACTGTAACTTAAGCAGGGACATGAATACTGATTTTATGTGTGTGTTTGTGTGTATGCAAGCGTGCATATATGTATCTTGCACATATATATCTCTAACAACATATAAATACACACGCTATCTATTGATTATAGTAAGACTTAGCACTTATAATTGCTTTATAATTTCTAAGTGCTGCACAAACTAATTAATCCTCACAATGAGTTTGTGGCAAGTATTATTATACCTATTTTATAGTCAAGGAAAGTGATACAGAGAGAACACCAAACTCCTAAAGTTAGGACCCTAAATCCAAATATAGGCACCAAAATGTATTGCTTGACTTTCAAAAATGCTGGATAATGCCAGACATGAGTGTTTATTCTTTTTGTTTAGGTACCTAAATATTACAACTGGTTAAAATCTATGTTGAAACACACACCATAGATAAAAAATTTTTGAAGTACTGTTTTCCTTCAAAAATTTCAATTTCATAGATTTGTAATTTACAGGAAATTTTCTATGGGGAAAAACTTGAGAATTTTTTCTTCACTTTTTCTTTTCAATGGTTTTCCTCCCAGGTTTCATGGTTTTTTTTTTTTCAATATAAATACTGAATACATATATACATATATATATATATATATGTGTGTGTGTGTGTCTGTGTGTGTGTATGTGTATATATATATATATATATATATAGTATCATTATCAAAATGAAATGTTGCAATGGGCTTGGAACAATATATAACAGAAATTTAATCTGACAGGAAATTTCACACCCTCCTGATTCAGAAGGAAAAAATGGAGGTGTCCAAATTCCTGCAGAATGGAATCCAGTCCTACTAAATACAGATTTAAGAAATAACTATTGGTATTCAGGTTGGAACATTTTTGATTAATGATCCAATCCAGCAGATTTAAACATTTTCAGGTTCAGAGCCAAAGGGACTTGCTTAAGGTCACAGAGAAAGTCAGTGACAGGACCTAGGATTAGAATCAGAGGAATGACTAGTATTTTTGTCACCCTGGGGAGCAGAGGCTTGACTGTGAGGCAGGAGCAGCTCTGGAACAGAGGCAGGGAGGCTTCAGAAGCCACGGTCTACATTGGCGTGGAGTGGGAGTTAGTGATCATAACACAACAGCTTGGGGGTACAAGCAGAGGGTTGGAGGGTGCTGCTAAATGCCATGCTAAGCAACACTATAAAATGCCAAATTCAGTGGCAGACTCCCTCTTCTGTCCCTCCACTACCTCTCATGAACCTACATCCACTGCTCCATGCTGCTGTGGGCCACAGCTGCCAAAGTCTTGGGTCCCCTGCCTCTGTTCCAGAGTTCCTGCTTAGTTAAGCATCCAGGGTTCATGCCTTCCTTGCCCATTGCTAATTATACTACTGATTAGAACTCAAATTCCTGGCTTCTTGTCCAATCCACTCCAGTGTGCTGTTTTCTTCTATACATGTGTGTGTATCATGCATACATACAGATGTGTACACACATATACACACGTGCATGCACAAACACGTACACACACATTTATAACTGAATAAATCTATGTATATTTCCTGAACCTGTCTTGCATTGTATTTTCAGTGGTGAATGCCTGCTTCTCTGTCATTATACAGAGTTATTGTATGTGACACATTACAGTACATCCATGCAAACACAGCAAAGGGTATCGATTTCTATAAAAAATGGGTAAGTAAACTTAGCACATAGGTTAATGTAACTTGGAAGTCACGGGGAGCTAGGGAACGAGTCACCAGGTGATGCCTTGAGCTTTTCCAAGCACCAGACTTCACTCGTGCTCTCAGGTACACGTGGTTCTCAGTTGCGTGTGGCAGGTGTGTGCATTTGTTGATGCAGGTGTTGAAGAAAGAAACAATGACAATCCAAGTTCCTGAAAAGCCTGAGCAAAATATTTTTTTTCCTAATGAAAGCCATCTAAGTGCTTGAAAATACAGATCAAATTCAGAACAGAACAAACTTTCTAGGATTTCAGAGTATTTCATATACACATTGACCTACTAGTAAAATTCCCAAAGGCATCTTGTTGCCGACTACATAACAGCACAGTTTTTGTTTCAGCCACAGTAATACAGGAAGATAAAATACACATTCTAACACACAACAGATCCCCCAAATATACCACAAAAAGATCTCCAATATTTCACCAACGCAGCTAGACCCTCCCCCCCTACCCCAATCGAAACAAAAAAAATATATCGATAGATCCCTATGGTGCAGTTAGAAAAAAATGCTCACTTACATAGGATTTTTCAGTTGAAATTAGATATAAAAGAGTAAACATAGTTAATACATATTCAGTTGGCCTCTGTTGATAGAAATCTGAAGATGTCTCTGTCATTAGTAAAAGACATATTTTCAGTTAGTTATAAAAGCACCTACAGTGCGATAAATACAAACAGTGGGGTAAGAAGCACTGTTTCTTCTGCTTATTTCCAGTAGGTTCACTTATTAGTTTATTGAGAGATTCCCTTTATCCCTTTCCCAAACCCCAGCCCCCAAAAGAGCTCTCTTTTTTCACCGTTATAAAGTGTTTTCTTGACCACTGTGGAGGCTCAATAGTAAAGCACTTCTCTGACAGCTGGCAGTTTTCTTACTCAGTCACTCTGAAGCTTGTGTGCAACAGAGTTTTATTCCCTGACACGGAAAAGAAAAGAAAAGAAACTCACTGACTTAGAAATCTTTCAGAATTAACAGCAGCATGTTGAGCCTAAAGGAAGTTACTTCAGAAAGCCTGCACTGAGTTTCTCTGATGTGCAACTTAGTTGGGTTAAGGCAAGTATGTACTGTACAGCCTTTAGGGCAAACAGCTTGCTGTCTATTGACTTCTGTTACAAGGTCATCATGGTATTTTTAGTATTATATTGACTAAGGAGATTTGATGCTACTAGGAGTTTGAAAGGGTCTCAGAAAGAACTGAACTGGACAAGTTCATTTCATAATTCAGCTAGGCAGGGATGAAGGTGGTAAAGGTAGGGTAATGGCCAGAAGATGGCACCAATGCTTCTCTTGTTGAACCTTCCAAAAGCCTGGCAGTTAGGTCTGTGTATTCAGGAAATCCAAGATAGGGGTATCCAGTGCATCTTTGTCTGTACTTGTTAGAAAGAGAGGCCGAATGCTCCCTTTGTCTTTTGTCTCAGTGTACACTCAGTTTTTAACACAAAGTTTCTTTCTTTCTTTCTTTTTTTGCTCTTTGTAGAACACGGGGAGCCATTCTGAAACAAGATTTTTTGCCAGGTCCTTCATCCCCCACACAGAAGTTACCATAATTACTTTGACCTAAAGGGGAGAGATAAGAAAAATGATATTTATAATTAACCAGGAGATAGACTGGTACACTTCACTCACTCTGCCCCAAACTTGTTTAGATAACCTTTCCAAAACACCCTTCTGGATATGAAGCTCTGCTCTACTGCTTTAATCTCTCCAGTTTTTATGATCAGACAGTCTGTATATACATGTGAGAGTAGGAAGAAAGGTATGACAGTGTCATCACGGGGAAACATCATCGAATTATTGATACAGGTTCTCAAAACAATTCCAGGTAGCACTATTTCATTATGTAATTCTCTCAGCCTGTTGACCTTGGAGGACCTGAGCAGTAGTAATTCAGCACAATGCTGCTGCCTTTATAACAGGCTATGAATTGGTACACAGAACAGAGGAGCCAAAAAACAGGTGTTTGGTTAAGTCACTTACAAAGCAACTGTGCAAGGTCCTAGCCGAGAACCCTATGGTTAAGCCTGCAGTATTAAAATCTACTCCTCTAGTCTAGAAAACAGTGTCTCTGGTTATTAATCGCTATAACAATTTTGAATGTGAACCTTCAGTGAAACTTCGCTCATGTTATTTAAATTACAGAGCTGCAGGTCCTAAATTAGGAATTTCAGCGGAAAGAAACATCATATTCATATTACAGGACAACAATGAAAATCAAAATAGCTGCAATACAGTGGCTGTATTCTGCCAGCTGGTTCTATGTCTTGTTGGCATCTGATTTTCAGATTATATGAATGGCAAAACGGGCAATTCACCACAGTTTTTTGATCTAATGTATGTAAAAAATAGTATTCAGTCATCTGGACATACAGCCACAGTACTGGGCTAGGAGAGTATTGCAATCAGACTGAATGTACAAATATGGCAGAGATGTGAAAAGTGGAAACAGGAAATAAGACCAAATGAGGAAACTAGAATAAACCAAACCAGATCCCTGTGTCTCAATTTCCTTAATCTCTGGCAAATTTTGGGTCTGGACTTAAATTTCATAGCTTGGCACTGCCATAAAATAAACCACATGTAATCAAAAAGCAAAGCCCATCAGTATTTCTGTGTATCACTAATATGCACAAATGGCCTACATATATAATATGTGGGCCACATATATATATATATATATATATGGCAAACAACTAAAGGACTCATAGACTTTAGAGAACAACTGGGAATTTTTTGCTCAAAGATAGTCTGTTCTTGAACAACTCCAGTACATTAGGTATCAGCATTAGAAAAGCACGTTTTTTGCTTCACTTTTTTTTCTCTTGAACAAACATGTTCTTGTGAAAAACATAAGCAAAAATCTCTCTTTTTGTTTACTTGAACCTCCCTCCCTCTCTTTGTCCTGCCCAGAGTTTTAAAGAGCACTGATCTCTTTCTGAAACTATGCAACAATTTTTCTATTGTCTCACGGTGAATTGCGTGTCACAGAGCTACTTGAAGTGTTAGTCCCTTCCCGTGATAGCAGAACCACTTCCTGACAATTATTTGCCCTCATCTTGCCATGCTCTTGTCGCATTACTCAAAAATGGGTGTTGGCTTCCTTAAGGCTGGATGCCAAGAAGCTGCTCCTTGGGGTATCAGAAGTATCAGATTAGAGTGACGTTCGGGGACAGCAGTCCTGTTATGTTCTCTCTGAAGGCAAGTAATAGTATGTGCTTTTCATCTTAAACAGCATAAAGTTAGTTAATTAAAAAAGGTCAAGGGTCTCCCACAACCTAAATGGCCCATTAGGCTACTGTGGTTAAAGCACACCAGGGTCTGTAGCCAAATGGCACACAAGGGAGTGATATAGCTAGCGTTTGTTGACTCTTCAGCTCAAATGACCAGGTAGCCACTTACAACTCTATCACTTAGGGGGAAACAGCAGCACAAGTCTAGAGTAAGGCTCAAATTCATGCTTCTGGAGCTTTTGCTACACCTTTCCTGCTTTGCCATCACCCTTCTCACAGGACACATTGTTAGTACTTAACCCTCCTCCCTGCAACATATAGAGGCTGGATACTTACCTGGCTGGACTCATTTGAGTCCCGTTTTTGTTTTTAGGGTGAGTGGTTTTTGGGTTGTTCTCCCGCCCTGGCGGGGGGTCGGGCTAGAAGATCTATTAGGTCCCTTCCGACCCTGAAACTATGAAACTATGAAACTATGAATATGCATACCACAAACAGGGAAGTGAGAGGGGAGGAGAAAGCTGATCATGTTTTTAATTAAAATTGATTTTTTAAAATTTAAATGAAATATATTTTTCTTTTAAAAATAAATCCACTTAAATTTAAATTTGAAATGAGGACAACCAATGTTAAGACCAATAATCTATTTTTAAATCTAATGAAATTACTGACATAAAGTTAAAAATATTAAATGGTATATGCTTTGTACTGAGGTTTTAAAGAAAGACAAACCATCGAACTGGTGAAAGTCACTGATTATATCTCTAGGTACTTTCTTATTTCAGTTTGCTCAACTGATTCAGTGCAATGACCAGTTTATTCAATGTTGAGAAACTGACAGAAAATTGAGAGAACAGGAAAACTTGTTTTCCCTCTTACTATACATGAATAAAAATGAGGTAAGAGAGGATGAGATTTACTAATTCTGAAATCTTTAAGAATGTGGTAACCAGAAACAATTCGTTAAGCCCATTAGCTTTAGGTAATGCTTTTCTCAAATAAGTTTGTTAGTTCCAAACTTGGTTTGGTAAACTATTTTTCTAATATACCTTGAGGTCATTTAAAGTAGTTTCACTTAATTAATAAGAAATGTTTTTGTGCACTTCAATGACATTTCAGTACCTGTACAAATAAAACTTAACACAGATGAGTAAAAGATTAATAATCTTTCAGTAAAAAAAGAATTGTTCTAACATAAAAATGTAAAAATAATTTAGATTTTGATTTTTAAATGTGAATAGATATAGCATGTCCTTCTAGATAGCGAAAGGAAATACCAAAAATTAGCATAACAACTACATTTAGCAAAAAATCAACATGTTTCAGTGGTCACCAGGCAGTGAGAATCCACCTTTCCCTAAAACAGCTTCCAGCAACCTTTATAAGCCATGGGATGGAAAAACCCGGCTCTGGCCTGACATGGGCTGGGGGGACTGTGGCAGTACATCAGCATTAGGGTGATTTGTCTGCCCCTGCACTGGGGACAGCCTGCTGGGACCTGTGCTCACATTGCTGCTGCTTCTCCCCAGTGGTGGCGCTGGTGCAGGTTCCAGCTAGCAGGGAGCCGTGCCAGGGCTGGGCAGCTGGAAATGTCTTGCTGCCTTCCCCAGCCTCCTAGCAGTGGGATGGGTGTAGCTGGAAGCTGCCTGGCCCCAGCACAGCTCCCCACTAGCTGGAAGCTGTGCCCAAGCTGCAGTTGCAGGAGAAGGAGCAGGAGGGTGGGATGGAGAAGTGTCAGTGGTGGGAGCGTGGCTTCCTGGTGCCTGACCCCTTTACACCTCCTCACTACCCAGTCCTCTAGCTCTGCAGATTTGGCTCTTGGGCTGTACCTTGCTAACCCCTTTCACAGAACAATGAAAATGCAGAAGAAGGTGAAGCTTTCTGGTTGAAATCACTTTAAATTAAACCAATCTAACCAGGACAGAATTAAACATCTGCATTTATATCATTCTCTCATCACGATAACTGAATTCATCCTTGGGAACAGCATGCCAATGGAGGCTGATGGATACCCGAGGACTTCATAGGTGTCATTAAGGTTTGTGGTGTTGCTTGATATGGGCAAAACATTTCAATATGTGGGAGAATCTCCTCACTCCTGATAGAAAACCATGCTTTTTGAATTTGCATTTCAAAAAGACTTATGGGCATTGCACAGGAGTGGCCAGACATCAGCTCAGATCCTTGAAAGTTGCTATTGTCTTAGGAAGTTCTTTCAAATAGAGACTAGATGTACTTCTTTGTCTCTCTACAGTGCCTCATATATCTGGGTCCCTACCTTGCTATGGTGATGTAATTATAATGCTTCTTTTGCTTCTGGTGGTTGCTCACAACTAGCACATCATAGAAAAACCAGATCTCTGCATAAAAACAATGTTTCAGTAGCTCACAGTGCATCTAGTCCAGTCCAGCTAAGCTGCTTTCAGTGTGATACGGAAGGGAAGAGAGTGTGAAGATGGTGCTAAATTTCCTTTCTATTTAGGGTGGCCATTGGTCCTGTTTTGTATCGTACCATCCTGTTTCTAAACCCTTTGTCCCCATTCTGAATGAGGAATGGACTGCAAAAAGTCCTTTTTTCACTTTATTGGTGGAAATATATGTCAACCATTTGTCCTTGGGTTCTATTGGCTATGCCAGGAGGTAGGGTAGTGCATAGCCAAGAGGAGCAGGGTTGCCAGCCAGCCAGGGAGGAAGGGAGGTGGCCTTTTTGTGGTGGCCCTGGGCCCTGCTGATGCTTGGCCAAGGGGTCTGGTGGCCCTGCCCCTCACCATTGATTGGCCAAGGGGGCTGGTGGTCTTGCCCCTCACCAAGGGGATGTTCTGTATTCTGGGGATACATCAGTGGGTACCCTATTTCTGTTCCTTTGCATAAACTAAAGCAACCTCACAACACTCTTTTTTATTGATGTCCTTCTGCCCACAGTTCCAAGGGGCCACTCCAGCAGCCTGAAGGCATCAATTGTTAGGAAATTTTCTTGCTCTGGAGGCCATGTGGAAGTTTTGCACTGCCCAAGGGATTCCTTGACCTGGGACTGGTCTGGTCTCATGTATTTAGTCAATTCCTGCCAGCTATCAACTTATGCTTTGAGGAATGGGATCTGATTAAATCTGTATGGGCAGGAAGTACCACACTGTCATGCTGGAAGATTTTAGAAACTAAGCAGCAGTGGGATGGATTAATACCACAGTGCCAAAAGAACCCCTCAGAGGTAACAGTACTGGAGCTGCTGATTCAATAGGTGATGTCGTTCAGTGCTGAGCCTAGGATCCAGCATAATATTAAGTGAAACTGTGATGCTTTCATAAAAAGTCAATAAAGAACCTATGGTTTGTGTTCGATTTCAGTTTAGGTGGGAGGGGGATGTAGTTGCCCACATCAACATTTCATCTGCACAGTAACCCCCATGTGCAGACCACACTCTGACTTTAGGTAATGATGTTCTGCCTAGCTAAATTTTCCCCTGCAGCTTCAGCCGAACTCACTGCTCTTCTTCCCTTTTCTCACTGTACTTTTGTATAGAACCTCTGTGTCTTGTTTAAAAGCTGCTACACTCCAACTGAATGGTGGATGCATTTCACTGACATGTGAGGCATTTCTGGTAGAGATGTATTCTTGCCATTGTACAACACGGTGATAAGTCCTCATCTGGAATACTATGTACAATTCCAGCCACCCATTGTCAAGAAAGAAGAATTCAGACTGGAACAGGTGCAGACAAGGGCTACTAGGATGCTCAAGGGAATGGAGAGCCCTTCTTTTGACAGAAAATTAGAAGAAATTGGATTGTTTAGCCTAGCAAAAAGGAAGGCTGAAAGGGGATGTGATTGTTCTCTGTAAATACATCAGGAGGGCAAACAGCAGGGAAGGAGACAGACCTATTTAAGCTCAAGGACAAGGTGGGCCCAAGAACCAAGGGGAATAAACTAGCTATGAAGAAATTCAGACTGGCAATTTAGATGAGGGTTTCCAACCATCAGAGTAGTGAGGTTCTGGAACAGTCATTGGAGGGGCAAAAAAATCAAGCTAGTTTTAAGATGGAGCTTGTGAATGGAGTTAGATTTCCCGAGTACCCGCGGTATCGGCAGACTAGATGCAGTGACCCTAGGTTGTCTCTTCCCCTCTTGTATTCTAGTTACTTGTATTTAATAATCCCTGTAGATCTTTGTTCTGCCTCCTAAGGGTATCGAGTGTTTGTGAAGCACAAAATTCTTTAGTAATAAACCCTAGGGTGAAGTCCAGATTTTTAAAAAGTTCTCCCCCCACAAGGGCTAATAATATGGGGCAAATAGGATGATGTTCTCCAATGGAAAATGGGGCAGCAAAAGACACAAAGTGGTAAGGCAGTCTACTGTTATCATTTCCAAGTTGTGATTTTCATCAAGATTTTCTGCCGTAAAGAGTGCTACAAGCTGAAATCTGAATGTATCACTCTATTATCATCTAACAATCAGAGCAGAAGGCAATATGTTACTTCAGTATATGTAAGCATGTGTTTCTAGGCTGTTTTAGCTTTATGCAATATAAGGCTGTTGCCACATACTGTCAAAGATGGTTAAACACAACAGAGTGTAAGAATTGCGTAGTCCTCTAATCACACATTGTACAGTGAGAAGGAAATGCTAAGCATCTTTGATTGTCACTGCGACATGACAGTGTGCCTTTTGTGGGTTTACTGGATATATCATTAAGTTACTGATGTCTGTCTCACAATGAGCAGTGAAATGACCTAGACTCTAGTAAGAAAGCAGCACTGAAATAAAAGAGAATTCCTTTTTTAAGGTTCATCGTTTGTTTCTTTGTCTCAGCTACAAGCTTAGAAATTTATTTTGGCTTTTCTCTATAGCTCCAGCTTTCTTTCCTGTCAGTGGTAGGAGGCTCTGTAAATGCAATCAACTGTTCTTAAAGGAGAAACACCGAGAACATAAAGAGAATGGGATAATATCTCAGCTAGAGGGCTCCATATGTTGATGGCAAGGTATAGTAAACGGAGAGAGAAATAGGATTAGAATTGTTCTAAGTACCTATGAACCACACATGGTACAAGGAAGGAAATAACATTTTCTAAATGTACAACACTCTTGCCAAGAGTGCAGGTGAAAAATTTTTATTTGAGTGCAGACAGATGGGAAGCTGAAGTTAGGCTGGCATTGGCATTATGCACTAGTGTAACTTAAGACATAATGAACAACAGCTACCATGCATCCCAAAGGCCAGGTCCTAAGCACCCTCTAACATAGGGTTCACAACCAATAAAAAGTAAATACCAGCACAACATAAATAATTTGGGCTGCTAATTCATCAGCAGATTTACTTTAAGGGATTAAAGGTTTAGTTTAATGTTTCCATTGATGTGACATTACGATCTGAATGGAGATCATGACAGAATTGATGCTCTTTATCTATATTTAGTTCTCTCCTTCAAAACAAGTGACTGGGACAGAGAAAGGACAAAGTAAATGATGCCCTCTTGTGAGCTGGCACATGCTGTACAGTCCCTTAATGAGCTGGTTTTATTAAACAAAATCCAAAATACAATAGGTGAAAACTGTATGGTATGTTGAGAGGCAGGACTCCTTAGGGCGATAATGAATCTGTCCCTTGTTTTCTGCTTGGCACTGATACAGATGATGTTTGTAAATCAGTTCTGTGCTGCAATCTAAGGATGGGCATGAACTCTTCCATGAATCTGCTCCAATCACATGCATGTGCTGACATTTTATTTTCTATTTAATCCCAAAATATCATCGTATTCTATTTCTAGGCAGTAGATAGAACTGTAGCGCTCACAGCACAGTTAAAATGCAGTATTCTATTCAAACTGATTTCAAGGCAATGTGCCACTGAAATTTAAAAAAGAAAAAGGCAATAGCAGACAAAGCAGAGTGCCTCAGTGAATTGATGTTCTAATAATACTAATGGCAGACGTGTTGCTAAATGAACTAGTTTCTAAATCTGTGCTAAACCAGACTAAACACTGATGAGCCAAAGCCTTAGCCAGATTTTTTCTAGTCCTTACCCAAGCAAATCTGACTGACTTCAACTGGGAATTTTCCTGAGTGAGGGTTAAATAAAATCCAGGTCAGGACCTCATTGTTTTTTAAACAAGTGTGATGCATTGTGTACTACCATAAGAAAGAATCATGATGCAACAAAAGGGTAATTTTAGAATCAAAGTGTATAGCTAGAATTCTGTCTTTGAACAAATGGCTCTGCCAATCCTGAATTTCTAAGTCACCTCATCTTTCAGCTTGATGATCCTTTAATATCTACTTGGCATTCCATGGAATATCTCAGAAGTTTAGTACTTACATATACATGGGCTGTAGCTGTAAATGAGATGTCTTCTGTGGGCCTTGATAGCCGTAAGAATCAAATCCACCTATGAAATCAACTGAAAGGGAAAAATTGCTTTCATTAACAGCATCTTTTCAGAAGAGATAGTAACTACCATCAAGTTTCCACACAGACTACTTTGGAAAGACTCAGGAATAATCTATTAAAATTAGATTGACTAGTTGTGGAGATAGCAAAAAAAAAAAGTTAAAAAATGGATAAAAGGCAGTATCTTCTGGATAATGATTTTATAATTCATCAGCAAGAGACAATGCTGGATATATAAAATCTCTTTCTCCACAAGAGAGAATTATATATCACATCACATTTTTCTCAAATAGACCACCTCACTGGAGTATAAAAATTACATTTTATTCAGATATTATAAATACTGCAAACCATTTATTTACTGGCATGAATGCACTGCAACTGACTGTGATTACTGTGTCAGGCTTGTTGACATACTGTGGTTCAGTGATCTAGAGAAGAAAGCACATTGATCCTATTTGTTTGAGAGACAGAAGTTTCTGATTCCCTGCTTTGACATTTGAGTTGAAATGCAAAAGCCGAGGCTTGGAACAATTTATCTGCACATTAGAAATGGGACTTCACAATTCAAAGGAAAATGGGATCTCTCCCTGGACAGTGGAAGTTTATGAATGGGGAGTTATTTTCTAATTCACATCACTGCCTGTGCACCATGGGCTCCCTGTATTTATTTTAAATCATTTTCAAGGTAGTATAGTCACATCTCCTTTGAGACACATTGGACAGCTTAAATAACAGATCTGGCAAACCATGTTTATGAATAACTTTGACTCAAGTGTATGCCATACTTAAGCATATGGTACATATATATATCATACTTAAACATGAACACAACCAACTTTTAAATGATCTCCAAGCATAAGGTGAACAGCTTTTAGAAAATGCCAGCTATTACAAAACACTACTGTTTGTCCTCAGCAATAGAGGCTACCAGGAGCACATTGGACTTTTCCTTTATGTGTTCACAGAACCATAGAAATGTAAGACTGTAAAGGAGGACATCTAGTTCATCATTCAAGCAGAATTAAGTATGATTAGATTATCTCAGAAAAGTGCTTTTCTACTCTGTTACTTAAAACTACCGATGAAGGAGATTTCACAACCTTGCTAGTTTGCCTGTTCTAATGTTTAATTAGCCTTAAATTACAAAGATTTTCCTAATATCTACCCAAGTGATACTCAACCATTCAGGTTGGAGGAGTGATCCAGAGCTGATCTGCAGGCCAGACCTCCTGCATGGGGTGGTTACATCTGCTGACCTGATCCAGTGTGCTGGGTCTGGCCAAGATGGAGAGAAAGGGATCACAGAGAAAGCTCATGACTACATGTTCAAAATGGAGTTTGTAGCTTGATAAAAGATTCATCAAGGGAGTATATAATGTCACACACAATTCCTAAATTATACAGGTATGTTTCCCAAATCATCAGACTCAGTCCTTACCTTCAAGGCATTTAATGGTTTAGATCAGGCATATCTGAAAGACTGATTAAACATCTGAGGTAAGAACTGTGGTCAAGAGCTCCACTTCTCACAAGACAACTTTTCACTCCCTGACATAATTACACAGTGCTCCAATCTACAATTTCCTAGTCACTCCTCTTACACAATATACCTACCCTTCTCGTACATTATCCCATTAATATGGCAACCTCACCCCCTTAGATTATCAATGAAGGTCTTCCTTGCAGCCCATTGTACAGCCTGTGTATTTCAATCATCCTTAAATATGCAAACATTATGTTAACTTTGTGAAATCATAAATATTTCCTTGGAACCTGACCCACGTAATAAACACAGGATTATGATTTTATTACAAGATTAGGCAGAAGGATGTACCAGATTTAGAAGAAATGAGTGAGCTCTTCTTCAAACATAGCAACATAACAAGATGGGTGTGAAAGACTGCTGGACTGATTGCAGTGAATTTTTTTTTGTATAAATGCTCCCTTTTTTCTTTTCAATCTTGCCCAGAATTCAGACTGTAAACTTTTGGGAGTAGAGCCTTATGTGGTACAAATTAGTGCCAACTGATAATCTGTTTTCCTTGCTATAATTTTGTGTATGTTTTCAGTGGCACATGTAGCGGTGAGCTATATCCTATAAATCAGCATATCAAAATCATTATGTCCTGTGGGCAGGATGACTGTCATAGGGCCAGTCTGCAGGCTGGATCAGGCTACTAACTGCCATGTATGCTGGATCCAGCATGTGAAGCCAGTTTGCTGCAGACATTGTGTGTAGCATGCGCGATGGCCCTGTCTCTGTATACTACATGTAATGTATCCTTGGGCTGGTGCTGGTGCTTGCTGAATGTGGAGCCTGTCCCAGATTCATGGGTAGTATCACGGGCTGGATGATAGGGCTCTGCACCCTGCCCTAAGTAATAACTGAAGGCTGCTAATGCCACAGACATAGATGCTCTGTTTTAAAAATATAGGAAGACAGATCTTGAAGGGAATTTCTAGGACCATATTCAGTTACGGTGACCACCATTTCAAAATGGGAAGGCAGAATGCATGAACAGCACGTGCCCCTGGTGACTGGCGTGGCACAGCTGCGCTGGTGGCAGTGGGAGCACAGTGGCGGTGGTGGGAGCGTGATGGTGGTAAGCACAGAGTTCCCGCAGATGCTGACGGTACTGTTGGTGGGGGGTGGGGAGGGTGGCAAGCGCTGACCAGGGGTTGGCGACCACCTGCAGGCACTGCTGGCAGTGTCATTGTCGGCCAGAGGCAATCGTGGACTGCCCACAGATGCCACTGGCACTGTCGCGGTGGGGTGATGAGCAGCGACTGCCTGCAGGCACTGTCAACAGCATTGGCTGTGCCTTTTTGCAGGAGGTGCACCGCCATGCTCAGGGGGTGCACGTGTACCCGCGTGCATCCCCTACACATCGCCCCTGGCAGAATGCCTGTCTACTCCCTCCCCACCCCCCAGCCTCCCCTAATGGCAGTGAATTGTCAGGGAAACCAAGTGGAGTGGGGTCAGATGTGGTCTGTCTGCTGTGGTCTTGGGGCTCCTTGTCCTATTGCTCTTCCCCCAGGAGCCCCATGTTGACTGCACACCTCCTGCCTGCCTGGCAGCAGCTAAGGGCACAACTCCATACCACTGCTGCCAGGCAGGCAGGGGGTGCCTCGCCATGGTGGTGCAGGGCTTCTGTGGGGAGGGCAGCAGGGCAGGGAGCCCTGAGCCTGCATCAGGCAGCCTGCATCCGCTCCCACCCCATGAACAAATCTGAGGGGCTCCCCAGGAGTGCACACAACAATGGAGAGCATTGCCTCCCCTGCCCGCTGGATGAGCCCCCTGTGGCTCCATCCTGTTCCCTGTCCCAACCCCAGGTCAGATGCACTGCCCCAGCTGGGCAGTGTCCCCAGCCCCAGCCCCTGCCTTACTCCCTCCCTCACCATGTTCCCTCTCTCCCACATAGACTTACGTGCAGGGAGCTGCTGTCCATGCTGCCTGGCTGTATTCCTAGCCACGTGCATATGTGCAGGTGTGCATATGTATGTGGTGCCCCCCCCCCCCCCCCCCCCCCCCAAGCAGCCCCTTGCAGGCTGGAATGCTGCCAGCCTGTAAGGGGAAACCCACCATTTCCCATGGGGAACGGAAAAGCTGTATCCTTGTATGACACTGAGAATCCAGGACAAATGCTGTCCCGGAGTCATGGGACCAGGACTTGAGGTTCCCATTTCATAACTATACCACTGAATTAGGGACGGGTGGTCACCCTATTTCCAGTAAGCTAAACTAAATTGCTAAGAAACAGAATCCCAGCAATTAAAGGAGATTTTGTGGGCATATGAGAGTAATGTATGCCTATTATTTCTCCATGGTTGTTATGTCTGTGTCTCTATCCTGTTGAACAAAGGAAACTCAGAGTGGAAACAGGCCAGACTACGAAGTGACAAACAAGATGGGGCTGGAGAGACATTTCTGTTTGAAGCAGACTGTAGAAGCTCCCCCTTTACATAATCAGATCATGATAGTGGGGAGAACATGATTGTGCCCTTGTTAAAGTTGTACAATGGCTCCTTATGCACAACTTTGCAAGTGAACTGGAAAGGGTGGGTAAGAAGATATAAACTCCAATGTGGAAAGTGTCAGTAATTTCTTTTGCAGTAGATTTTCTTCATGGTGGCAGCATCTCAGTTAGCACTGCAAAGCCTGTGGTGCCCAGACTCTGCTAAAAGCTCCCTGTGGACTATGAGCTAGTTTTTCAAGGCATGCAAAAATGCTGCCCTTTCTGCTGGGCATTTTATCCTGGCTGTGCCTGAAAGGTCACTAAAAGTGTCATACTACTGCTACGCTCCTGGCAGCAGTAACATGAGATGAATAAAATAAGGTTCATTAGCTGAATGACTACAGATGCTTCCATTCCTAACCTTATCCATCAAACACATTTTCCCCCACTTATATCTTATTTTTATTTTACATATCATCCTTCACAAATCAGATCTTTAATCATGTTTTTTTTGTAACACACATGAACACATACAAGCCCATTCATGCACCTCAGCAACAGCTGAGATACCTTCTTTCTAAGTAACCTGCCTTAATTTTTTTGGAATAAATGACAGCATTACCATATTAAGAATGAGTGCCTTGCTTTTCTTTTTGGGGCTCTGAAGATCTTTCTTGCCTTGCTGATATTATTCTGCTCTTTGGGTATAAGGTTTACAAAAGCACTATGAACTTTTTCAAGGGAATATGGTACAAAATAAGAGACATATTTTCTATTAATAAATGCTGTCTACAGATCTGATCTTGTGGGCCCTACACGCAGTCACAACTTTCACTGACTTTAATGTGTGTGAGCTCCTGGAGAGGGTTTGTAAGTCTATATTTGTTTCTCCTCTTTAGTTGTTGGAGTGCAAAGGGCCTATTAAGATGGGATGTGTACACCAGAAGACAAGGAGGGTCTGTTAAAATGGACCTATATATGAGAATCAGAAGTCTTTGAAGATCAGCAGAGAAGAACAAAGAAATAGCTGAAATAAACAGATGGATAAAAT